AACAACTACACTAATAGTAGTGAGTGGTGATGAACACGAAGAAGATGACGACAACAACGATGGGGGACAATGAGCAGTGACAATAGTAATAATAATATTACTGATATTATTATTCATCCTCCATTGTGGCTATTATCTACTTACATTACAACTTGTGTTAGCAAGGCTAAGCTAACAGAAAAAGTTGACTGACATTAACATAAGTAAGAATCATATCGTTAAATTAAAGCTGCAGTTAGTTTTCATACTTCATGTCTTTATTAAGGAATTTTCAAATTAAAGGTTAAATTGTTTTATTGTTTCAGTCGTGATGTCATGCTGATGTAACCTGTAGTTGTGATGTCACACTGTGATGTCGTGGTGCGTTTGTTGAAATCAGACAACAGAAATGAGAAAAAGTGCATTTATTTGTTAATTTTCTCAGGCAGGCGGCTGATTGGAGGCTGAACACTGGCTCCTCCCTCAGCCGTAACTAACGACAACCAATAGTCTCCGCCCCTCCCCGCCTGTCAAACTCTGTACAACCCCTGTCATCGCTCCGAAAAATAAAACAGACCTCTCCACCTGTCTGAAACGTCCCTCAGATAAAAACCAAACACTCCATAAAAAACAGAAACAAACACGAGTAACAAAACACTCCGTCAGGCTCCGCCCCCTTTCAGAGGGGAGGTGGGAGGGGCCAGCGCGACCGCAGAATGACATCACCACTTCTCATTGGTCCGCCGGGATGATTGGCATGCGAGGAGGCGTGGCCTGCACAGCCTGTCCTCTCCAATGAGGTGGAGGGGGCGGAGCTAGTCCGAGTCCGAGTCACTGGACTCCTCAGAGGAGCTCTGATCTTCATCGTCATCCTCGTCCTCGTCGTCTTCATCGTTCTGAGGAAACAAATAAAACTTTGAACATCGATCGGGTGGAAACATTATCAGGTGACAGAGGGTGTGGCTTAAAGTGACTCTTCCTAAGCCCCGCCCCTTTTTGTGCTGTGCCCCGATCACAACGTTAGCAAAACACTCGCTAACTAGCTAACAACTTGATAACAAATAATTTTCTCTTACAAACAGTCAATAAACAAGCATCAATATAATAATATATATAACTATTTTCCACTTTATTAGATTTATTATATTATTTTAAAGTTTTCTTTGTAAAACATTTTTCAGCAAAGACTGAATTATTATTATTATTATTATTATTATTATATAAGAAATGACCTCGTCATCGTCATCGTCGCTGTCTGTGGATCCTGATGTCTCGTCGTCTTCGTCAGAGTCAGATGAATCGCTCTTCTCCTCCTCCTCGTCTGAGTCGGACATGTCCTGCTGGAAGACGGACAGAGAGCGAGACAGAGAGACAGACAGACAGTCAGAGAGACAGAGAGACAGACAGACAGACAGTCAGAGAGACAGACAGACAGTCAGAGAGACAGACAGA